AGTATCTAAACCTAAAGCTCCATGGCTATCTCCTAATTTAAGACTTTTTGATAAAGGATAAAGAAAACAGCACTACAAAAATTCAAGGTAACAAAGAGAATTAGACAGATTGGTTAAGATACAAAAAACTTAGAAACTTAACGGTATCGCTGGCTAGAAGAGAAAAAAAACTATATTGATTTTGTTTCATCCCAAAAAAGTCAACGCGAGTTATGGTCAACTCTGGCTAATTTCAATATTCATGCTAATAGTTCAAATGTCTTGCCAACTAATCTGTCTGATCCTGAACAAATTAATCGATATTTCAGTCAGTTTGTTACTGAAACTAATGATAACTCTAATAATTTAATTTTTAATTACAGTCAAACGATTTTTAAGCCAAACATTTCCTTTTCATTTCGGATGATTGACAAGAACAATATTAATAATATTATTTTGAGTTTAAAAAAAATAGTACGGGTGCTGACAGCTTATCCTTGAGAATGGTACTTTATTGCTATCCATTCATTGAAAACTATTTAGTTCATATTTTTAATTACTGCATTCCTGGTGCTTGGAAAGAAGCTCTAGGTATTCCCTTTCCTAAAAACAATAAACCTACTTGTTATTCGGACTTGCGAATTATTAGTATACTTCCAATTTTCTCAAAATTTTTTGAAAAGATTTTATATAATCAGATAAATGAATTTGTATCAGAAAATAAATTGATTCCGGAAAGTCAGTGTGGGTTCAGATCGGGTTTCTCAACCGCGAATGCCTTGGCACTTGTAACAAATAGCATACTTGAAAATTATGATAAGGGCTTAGCTAGTATTCTGGTCTTACTTGATTTCTCTAAGGCCTTTGACACAATAAACCATCAATTATTATATTCTAAACTTAAGTACTTCTGGATTTGATAATGTATCCTTGGCCTTGGTGCATTCTTACTTTAGTGATCGCACTCAGTGTATCTGCAACAATGATTCGAAGTCATCTTTAATTAACATACGCTCTGGTGTCCCACAAGGGTCTGTGCTTGGGCCACTGTTTTTTATTTGTATACTGCAGACATTCTAAGGTCCATTCGAAATGTTGGAGTGCAATCGTATGCTGACGATACTCAATTATACCATAGTTTTTTACCCAAGGACTATGCATTGGTGAATACTTTAATTAATTCTGAATTAAGTTGTCTTAATCAGCTTGCGAAAGAACACAACCTTAACCTTAATCCAAATAAATCACAAGTAATGCTTTTTTGTAGTAATAATAAACGTGGATTACTAAAATCGCAACTAAGCATTAATATTAATAACAAAAAATTGGACTTTGTAGAGTGCGCAAATAATTTAGGAGTTAAGCTAGATACCTCATTACGATTTAAATCTCATGTTACTAAGCTTGTCCAAAGATCCTTTATGAATTTAAGATTGCTGTTTTCTAACAGGCATATATTGAACATGACTCTTAAGAAACAGTTAACCCAGGCACTAGTCCTATCACACTTTAATTATTGTGATTTCATATACTCACCTTGTTTGGATTCAGTGGATAAAAAAAGAATCCAAAAAGTACAAAATGCGTGCTGTCGTTTAATTTTTGGACTGACAAAACGTGACCATACTTCTCAAAAGGTTAAACAACTTCATTGGCTTCGTATGGAGTGCAGATGGCAATGTCATTTAGCTAGTTTTGTTCATAAACTCCTAAATTCCAACAATAACCTGTGTTTTAAGAATATGCTTTCCACACGCTCATCTGTCCACTCGGTTAATATCAGACAGAAGGATAAATTTACAATGCCTCGTTACACTACAGCATTGTTCAAAAGATCTTTCATCTATAATGCTATTACATTACTTAACCGTCTGCCGGTTGACTTCAGGGCATTTAATATTAATAAATTTAAATTTAAAGTCAAACAATTTTTTTTGTGTGAAAACCACTGATCCTGTCTGTGATTCGTTTTTTTTTGTTTGTATTGTTGGGGTTTGTCAGCCACTAGGCAAAGAGTGTCATTTTTTTTTTCATTTTTTTTTCAGCTTTTAATCTGGCATATTGTGTAACGTTAAATTTTTTTTTCCCTCTAACTGTCGTTATGTTTTATATTATTTAAGAGAGTGCTTTAGTTTTAGTAAGAATTATTTTTATGTAATTGTGTCCTGCCAAATCTGACAGTTGTTGTCGACCTGCAGGTTAAGTGGAATAGCATCTCTGCTAGACTTCGCCTGCTGTCGAACGGCAATTGTTGGAAAATGTTATCGATTTTTTTATTACTTATGTATTTCTTCTTTTCTACTAAATAAAGTCCTTTATTATTATTATTATAATATCAAAAACATTTTAAAAAGTTTTCAACTCTTTTTGGAAAAAATACAGGAACATTTTATGCTAGAGTCTAGAAAAGTTGCTTCACATCACAAATATCCGCTTTATTAAGAGCATTCGTCAGCTCGGTTACTAACATCCTCGAATATTTCTAATTACTAAACTAACTATTAGCAACGAAAATCCCTCAGAAATTGTTGGGAACCGTAAGGCTGATGCACTTCAATAGGTTCTTTATAATAACAAGAATTCAAACAAATAAACTTCAAGGGAGAAGAGTTGTTTCTCTGAACTTCTGTGTCTCTGGCATTCGTATTCGCTTCACCACGCCACGCGGCCACAGTCACACTTTACATCACACTTTACACACACACTATGGACTTCTAACCTTGGCACCTTCGAAGGGACAGGACAACCTACGACTCGAAGAGATAATTGAAAACTGAGGAACAGGGGAATAGCTTATTCGGTATCGAAGAAGCGTGTATGACGTATGATTAGTAATGAGCGAAAATACTCTAAACTGGGCGATTTCACTCAAATTTTTATTGTGTTAAGCTATAACATGAGTTTTTAAGTGAATTTTTCTATTGATTAGAGATCATATTTGAGCAAAATTATGAATTTACTCTATTTTAGATGAAAATGTACTCAATTATTACACTCAAAAAAATCACTCCCTGAGAAATATGTGTTCACTCAGGCTGATTTTTTACAGTGTATGCGATATTATACACAATGTTAAAGTCGAAACGAAGAACATTTTTATGATTCCTATATTGTAATTATTAGTAAAATACGAGTATCTGCTCTAATTGAGCTACAAACAAACTATTTTTATATACTTATTCTGGTGAATTAGTGTTTCTTATATTTATATAGGTGTGTATTAAAAATGTATTAATTTATTTTAAACTTCTCTTTAATAAAACAGTATCTAAAACTACGAGTTTTAAATATTGCGTGGAAAATATTAAAATACTAAACTTTAACGACTTCACTTTTATGGCAAATAAATCTAATAAGTGCATACAACATTTTATTTTGCTCTAAATAAAAATTTTAATTAATTTCCTTGATCGTTCGATACATTAAATGAATAGATACGTCAAGTGAAGCCTGCAAATTATACCATTCCTAGACGTTTCATTAAGAACGTTCGAACGCAAGGAGCGTTAAAATTATTAACTAAAAGATAAAGGGGAAGCAGTCTGACATGTAATATAAGCAACGTCTCACTGACGACTTGATGGATCGGATGATTTGCATCTTAAAGCAAAGCAGTTCTAGAGGTAAACACGTTAAAAGGCTAATTATGAATACTAATTACATCGATTATATCTGGCGATTAATCAAAGAAGCGTTAATGTTTATACTACTGTAAACATGTCAAACAAAACAGGTGTTTTATCTGTGAGATTCTATAAATAATGTGTGAAAAGAAATTATATTTAAAATATAACTCTACTAAAGCAGTATTATAATTTATAACTTGTAGAATAAATTTTATCGTTGTTTGATAGTGTCACTGTTATCATTGGACATTTTTTTTTTTGGTTTAAGGATAATTTAATTATATGAAATTATTCTTTTAGTAATAGTATAGAGTACCATTTTGTTCTCTGAGTTGTTATTTTTAGACATTTTTAAATGTTTTTTTTTTGCTTTTGACAATGGGAGGAGATAGATGTTGTTGGGTAGAACCTCCTTTTCAGGAGGTTCCTGAATACAGTCCCAGGTCCTTGACAAAAGCCAGTATCTGGGACGGATATCTTGTAAGTTTCAAGGTATTGTTCTATTTTGGTTGCAATTATCTCACTTAAATAATCTAGAACCTTGCGGTTTTCACGAATTCGAGCAATTTTTTTTGTGAAGCAAAAAAGATGCACAAAATTGTCTTCTTAGTTTCCAACCTACAGTGCGATTTTGAAAAGATTGATTAATTGTGTGACGAATTATTAATAAGGTAGAAAGTTTAGTAAGTTATCGATAAGGTAAAAGTAATAATAAGGTTCTTATAGAGACCTTAGCAAGTTATTCATATTTTTGGTTTTGAAATATTGACCAATAATTGACAAGAAACTATTTTTTACAAGATTTACAAAAATATATACACACATGGCCAAAATTATTGCATATAACGATATTTTTATTTTATTTTGGACCTAATATGATTCTTTTTATATTTTTGGATATAATATTGGCTTACTACACGACTAACTAATATAAAATTAAAAATCTATATTATCCTAGCTGTTATTATAATTTTATTTCATAACGAGTGAAAATCAACAAAAACAAATTTCATTTTAAACAGAAAATATTGAAAACAATTTTAATTATTTCTCACAAAGTTTGTCAAGTTTCTTCTGAAACCCAAGAGACCACAAATCGAAATGTGCAAGAATTTGTAATAGTATTGGGTCTGAACGATAAACATTGTTTACCATATCCATTTTAACAAAAAAATGTTTATTACAGATTATCAAAGCTATGTATAAAAAAGATTCTTTAAATTCCTTTCCGTATATTTTTAAACGATATATGCAATAATTTTGGCCATATGTATAATAGCAGCAGTAGGCTATGCAAAACAATTGATACGATCATACGGATACATAGCCGTTTAATTGTGACTCTCTCTCTCTCTCTCTTAGCATCGTGTATTAATTTGTAATTATTTGTTGCAGTGCCACAGTTCACATTACCGTATCAGACGTCAACGAGTATGCCCCGACATTCACTGAACCCAGTTACGTCAGACAAGTCGACGAAGGCCGAATCTATCCCGAAATCGTCCGAGTTGAAGCCACCGATAGGGATTGCACCCCCAAATTCGGTGACGTATGCAAATACGAGATCTTGACATCCGATCAGCCCTTCGTCATTGATATGGACGGCGTTATCAGGTTTGTATTAAGAATTCAAAGGCTTAGTAGATATTTATCAAAAGAATGAGCAACAACTTACGTTTCAATTATTTGTTTTTTAACCTTTATAGTTTTTTGCCTTAAATTTTTCAAATTTCAATAATATCTATATGTAAATAAAACGGCTTGGTTTATAGAGATCTATATTCGAATATCATCGGTAGACGTCGATTCGTAGTTCAGAAGCATTGCTTGTTGGGTAGTAAAGACTGTTCAACCATCGTTCACCGTTGCGTCATTATTTGTCCAATATGAGTTTTAGGGTGCCACTGAGATCACTTCATAGTGTTTAGAAAATTTTAAGTACGTCCCTATATTATTGATTGACCGAGTTCCGTTTTTTTCGGCAGTATCTCTATAGGACGTTATAAACCAGATTGCTGTACCTTTTCTATATTTAAGACAATCTGAAACAGAAAAAAATATTGTTGCAGTCGTTTTGACTGTTGTTAGATAGGATATTAAAAGACAATTTTGCTGAGGAAAATATATCTGTTACAGAAATACTGAGCCGCTAGATTATGAACGCTCTCACAATCACATTCTCAGCGTCATTGCATATGATTGTGGCATGCGTCAATCTTTCCCAGCTCTGGTCACCATCAAAGTTAACAGAGTCTGCAGACTTGGTTGGAGGGGATTACCCGAAAGAGTTGATTACGCTCCCATGACTGGAAAACAAGAACTATTCCCCAATGCCAATTTACAGCTGTGTGACATTCCATGCAATGTTCGCGAATTAAGAGCTAGAGTTGATTTGGCAACCAGGTAAATATGCAGTGTTTTAAAGGAAATTTAATTATTTCCAACAAAATTTGTCTTTTCAGACATATCGGTAAAGGCTGTGATAGAGATACGTATTCTGTTCAGTCACAACGTAAACTATGTGGAGCTTCACCTTCAGCTATTGACCTACTCCCATCTCCAGGCGCTGGAGCCGAATGGACTAAACCTCTAATATCCGATGAAGGTAAATAATATTTATTAATTAGTAAACTGGCATTTTACTAATTTTACAGGAGAGCACTGGACGGCTGGTTATTATCAGGTTCTTTCCATGTATTCCATATTTCTACTAGGCATACATCATAGGATTTAACAACTTACTGTCCTGCAGAGTCTGTACATTTTGTAGCGATCAGTTAGACCTACTATAATATTGTAAAATCCTAAAATTAAGAAATTGGCGCTTATCAGTTTTTTCCCTGGGTCCTTCATTTCTAAGATTCCAAGATTTTCTAAAAAACTATTTTTATAATAATCAATATCACAATAATATAGCTCATTCGCAAGGCATGGCAAACTTGCATAATATAATTCGAAGTACAAATACATTTCTAGTTGAAAAAATAACGACACTAGTTTCACCTTGTGGTCATGCGTCAAAGCTTAGATGTGACACTATTTCAGTTGATTTCAGTATATTTATTAACTCTGTTAAAGTTGTTTAAAATAACTATCTCAATATTGTGAGATTTTGTGATGTGCCACTGTTCTTGAGAATTATTTTTTTATTTACACTTATTTCAACAATATCTATTGGATATATTCAATATTTTCAAAGAAAATTTAAAGATTTCTACATGTCCAGATTAACTGGAATTGTATTAATCCTTTTAAAAATGTTTAGGTCACGAGTCAGATCAGATGTTCGAATTCGATGGAAGCAGTACTGCTGTTTCTATCCCGAACTCTGTATTGGACCACAATTTACCAGCTACATTCACTATTGCTACTTGGATGAGACACGGAGAACACAACAGTCAAGATAAGCATATCAAGGAGCATATTCTATGTTCTGCCGACGACCACAGTAAGTGCATAATAATTTCTTACTACTTCGTTTTGTATAATGTATATTTTATTTAATTATGGCTAGAAATATTATTAAATTTTACTTTCATTTAAACTCGACTCGAATGGGTGAATTGTTTACAAAGTAATTTGTATTTTTTTGTAATTCAATTATATCATCCAAGAACATGAACACTAAACACTTACATCAGTAAAAAAACAAATTCATGGGAAAGGTTTAAAAAACGTAGTCAGTTTTTTTTTCGACTTATTGAATGTAATCTAAAATTATTAGACTAATAAGCAAAATTCATTTCTAAGGTTTTTAACCTTCCAGAACAAATTGAGGTCGGCTTTCCTTCTTTTTTCCTGCTTAATCAATCCCATTAGCTAAATACGAAGGAGTTTGGAAGAAGAAATATAGCTACAACAATTTTCTTTTCTTTTTTCTTATATCAAGTAACAAGAAATATTTTGAGTTATTAAGGCCGCTTTATTTTAAAGATGATTTCCTTCAATGTAGAAGAGAAGTAATAGAGAGACAAGAGAGAAGCCATGCTTTATTCCACTTATCTTTCATTACTACATACTACACTTTCTTATTATTTCTTTTTGGGGTGGCAGGAAAATATATTTAGGAAAAATAAAATGGCTTCTGATTACTAAAAGGAAAATAATGGAATTATTGTGTACTAAAAGTTATTTAGATGTTCTGGTGAAAATAAAATATATATTTTCCAAAATTCCAAGATAATATTCTACCTTCCTAAAAAAGTCTAAAGTTGTCTGTGTATATTGAATTAATTAATATTCGGATCGAATTTTCGGGATTTTTGATGAATTTTAATGCTTATTTTTGTTTAAAATTATTTTTCCAGACATGTTTTTATCTGGATCTTCATATTACAAGCAGCTCTAATTGTGAATTAAAATTAAAAAGAAAAACGTAAAAAAGTTAGAAAAACGAAGTTGAGCAAGGGATAAATTTTGTATAATCTTCTCCATATTTTTTCTTTAATTAATTATTATTTTATTTAGGTCCACCTTTACATGAAATTTTTGGTAAGATTTTTATCGAAAAGTGTTTGTATTTGATTTTTTTTTCTTTTAACTAACCGGGCGAGATTAATTTAACTTAACAGTACTAATATATTTTTTGCATTATTCAAGTGTCAGTGTCATTGTTTTGCCGACTTACATACTTACATAATAGTTTCCAGTTTGGGCATGACTGTGTGCCGGCAACTTCTCCAAAACTTATTAAAATAATTTGCATATTAAACTTGGAGTATGTTCTGGAATCTTCTCTGCTAAACGCTTACATTGTGATATGTGCGAAATTAAATGAGATATTGCGAAAATTTATGCGTTTCTCTAAGTTGGTAAGCTTAGTGGGATGGAGAAACTATCCCTGTCTCAATATTACGTTTCTTAGTAAACTAATAGTAATTATATAGGGTGTTTAAAAAAAAGTGCCATCTGTCGCGGGGCAATTCCTCACAAAAAAATAAAATTTATTTTTTATATCATTTTTTCATTTTATTCTGCTTTGTTTCGTGGCTACTTTTCGATCTACTATAATTTTCTTCCAAATTTTCTAAAAAAGTTCTAAACGATTCGAATTAAATTTTGAGCGTAAAGTTACTATAAGTGCAACATATCTGAATGCTAAATAAGTGTCGACAGATTCACCAGGGACGTGCATACGGGTTATCACTCGAATATTTTTCTAATAAAAAAACGCGCGCCACTGACTTTTTTCTTGTTGCAACCGCCGTTTAATGCCGATTAAAAGTTGTCTCTTGATATTCTGTCCATTTCGGGCTCCTTGATGAGATAAACGCAATTTTATTAATTTGCCTATATGTATGTATAGCTTCGGGCCAGCCGGCAACGATGCGCATAACGTTTTCTGTTCTATTGGCCAGCTATACCCCCTAACTAGTATTGAGAGCTATTATTTTAACAATTGAGCTATTATATGAGTTGCTATACCCCCTAACTAGGCGGTGTTATTATATTGAATTTTATATATTTAACTTGATTTGTGCATATTACGAGCCCTAACAACTAAATATTTGGACAAACAAAAATTTATTAAAAATCTTTATTTTCATAAACTGAATTTTTTACATTTAAGAAATACATTAAAGATATATTAAAATCTAACATTTCTAATGAGTATTTAAATAGTTTAGTTTCTATAAACATTAAAATAAACTGTAGACCAATAAATAAACAAAAATATTGCACAATATCGTGACAACTAAATGTTCGGACACTTTAAAAAATAACTGTTCTAATATGACATTACATCGGAATGAACTTTTACAACCACTGCATGTCTGTTTGGCATTGTTTTTATTAAAAATTTTGCCATAATTCACTTAATATCATCGTCAAATGGGCAACGGTATCTTGGGGATCGCGGCACAATTTTTGTTTTGTTTTATGCCACATGTCTCGATAACATTAAGGTCCGGACTGTGCGAAGGCCATGAGGGGACCTTGATGTTAATGTCCCTAAACCATTTTTTAGCAGTTTTAGCCATATGGCATGCCACGCCATCCTGTTGAAATATAAAATGCATATCCTGGTAAAGGTCTCTCGCACTTGGCACAAAACTGTTTTTCAAAATTTCTTGATATTTTGACACATTAGTTGTGCCTTTCTACCACCTCATACCTTCCTAGACCCATTGCGGGCATAAACTCTAAAAGCATAATGTCTTTAGGAAATTCCACTGTCCATCTTTTATAAAGATCATGCATGCGTGCAGATGTAATCCTTGAACTTGCAGTTTGCGATTAGAATTAACAGCGTCGGATTGGAACTTCTGGTGTTTGGTTTGGAAACTACAAAAATGACATTAAGGTAAAAAAAATAATTATTTCCCAATCCGACGCTAATAATTCCAATCGCAAATGGCAAGTGCACGTTAACCCTTAACTGGTCCGGCGTCGTCTGACAGACTACGCCAAATAATTAACTCATTCTCATTAGTTACTGGGACCGCCCACACAATTGGCGTTCCAGCTAATCCTCCCCCTCTCGGTCAACTACTGATAGCCATATTTATGCCCAAACTGGATTAGTTTTTTAGAAGTTATGGCAGAAGTTACTTTAAGTCGTAGTCTCTCAGACGACGCCGGACCGTTTGCGTAAGATTTTGGTGTTTGACAAACTTTTGTAAAATATGGCCGGGCCTTCGAAACGAGTGCGTTTAGGAGACTCTAGTAATGAAGAAACTCTATTAAAATGATATGATGAGGACTGTGACAGTGACAATATGACAATCTGCCAGACAAATGCGTTTGACAATGCCCAATATTCCAAGAGAAATATACTTTACAATTGGTAGAATACTTGCAATTCATGTACAACCAGAACACGCCCACGGAGATTTTCTTATCCCAGAGTTCTTATCCTAGTTAAAGACAATGTTATGTCCTAGTTTAATTGTTTTTAATGCCTAGAATGTACGAATCCATTTTGTAAAACATGTTCAGGAAAACAATGAACTTTGCCTCATGCTGTAACTAAAAACCTTTTCTTTAACTTCAGTTTTATAGTTTATTTTTTTATATATAGTACTAAAAACATATTTCTGTATTGTAATCACTGTTAGTAATTTGGTTTAATTTTTTAGAGCTTAGTAAAAATCCAATTGTTTTTTTTTCAAATTTATATGTATGTTATTTTATTTTGTACTATATTTTCTTAAAGCTTATATTAATTGAACCCATTTTTGTCTATATTAGTTCAATAATACATAATATATAATAAAATAAAAATTTGTTATTTTTTAGTTTTTGTGTGTTTTTTTTTCACTTTTTAGAAGGCGTAGTCCCACAGACTACGCCGGACCGTTTATGATACATATCTATTACCCGACCAGTTAAGGGTTAATATCGATATAATAAATATAATCGAACACCACTAGAGTGTCTATTTGATAAAGATTGCCTCAAAAGGACAATAAAATTTCCTAAAGGCATTATGATTTGAAGGTGTATGTCCAAAATAGGCCCAGAAAAGTATGAGGTGGTAGAAGGCATAATTGATGCGTCAAAAAATCAAAAAATTTTGTAAAATATTCTTGTGTCAAGTGGGAAGGATAAAGGGGTCCTTGTAACCAATTGTTCTGGTAAAGACCAGGACAATAATTTTATATTTCAACATGATGGGCGGGCATGCCATACAGCTAAAACTACTAAAAATGGTTTAGGGACATGAACGTCAAGGTTCCCTCATGGCCTTCGCACAGTCCGGACCTTAATGTTATCGAGACATGTTGAGAGATTTGATTGAGACATTTGACGATTATATTAAGTGAATTATGGCAAAATTTTTATTCTGGCGTATGTCAACCATTAATAAAAACAATGCCAAACAGGCTTGCCGTGGTTGCAAAAGTTCATGCCGATGTAACGCCATATTGGAACAGTTATTTTTTAATGTGTCCGAACATTTAGTTGTCATGATTTTGTGCAATCTTTTTGTTTATTTATTGGCCTACAGTTTATTTTAATGTTTATAGAAACTAAACTATTTAAATACTCATTAGAAATGTTAGATTTTAATATATTTTAAAAGTATTTCTTAAATATAAATAATTCAGTTAATGAAAATAAAAATTTTTAATAAATTTTTGTTTGTCCGAACATTTAGTTGATAGGGCTCGTATAATAAAATTAAGTTCACGCTTTCTAACAAATATTATTATATTTAGGAAATTATTAAACAAAATGGAGACACATTTAAAGTAAAATAAAATAATAAAGTTTCCTGGAAAATATTATAGAAATTCTTAATATAATTTCATAAGTATTATTTTTTCATCTATATTTTATGAATGTTTTTGGAAGTTATGATAGTTTAATGGATAGAGTCGGATTGTAAATCTAATAATATCAACTTTTGGTAGAGCAAAAAAATTTACATTGGGAATGTGTGGATATTATCAAATACTCATCACAGCTCACCAAGGCGCAACTAATCTTTCTCTAATTTAATCATCTTTATATCTCTTTTGGTTTACAAGATCTCTGTAGTGTGATTTTTCATATGACATGTCATGTAGAATGCATATGTGAGGGGGTTAATCACCATGACCTTACAGATCTATTGTGTCTCCCCATTCATGAATTATAAGGAGTTATAACTCATCATACAGTCTCGGGGCTTTGACAAAAGCCAGTATCTGAGACGGTTTTAAAGATGTTAATTCTCCATCTGATAGTGGTACCAAATCAAACCAAACCAAATCATGAGGTGTTCTGGTGTTTCCCTATTTTTAACTATTTTTTTCTTAGCTTCGATCTACTGAGATTTTTATCCATCTATCATTGTATCACTATCGCCATTTTTTTAGAGACTTTAGAGAGGACTTTATTATCTTTGCTTTACTTCGTTACTGAATCGCTTTTAATTCTATTTCTTGTTTCTGATAGTTCCTATCTATATAAAATAAGTTGTACGCATCTTTTGATAGGGTAGATTTCTCCTTGAAGAATGCTGGGGTAGATGCTCATTGGTTCGGAGTATTTAGTTTTTGACCCAAATACTCCTATCCCTGTCCCTACTTTGGTTTTGAAAACTTCAGTATACCATGTTATGGTATGGTCTTTTCCCAGCTAAGACATGATACATAATTTTCTTTTCAATTGTCCTAACTACAGTAATCTATATAAATCTATACTCCACGCTATGGCCTTGGTCTTTAAAGAGGCATGGGATGGTCTCGGGCTGCTAAGGTCCTTTTTATCCCTGCTCATTTTAGCTTAGTGATTATATTAAACCTCCGTAAGTAATTTTATTGCTGGCCGCCTAGACCCGCTCTTTACCCTTGCTTAATATCCCAGCGGGTTTACGCTTTTAAATAAGAAATTAAACGAGCTCATATACACACACTCACACACATTCGAGGCGAGAAAGAGGCGTGGGAAGCTGGAAGGCTCTCTCCGTCGTTTTGGTGCCAAATACATAACTGCGAGGTATGACCGAACGCTTTAAAAGCACATAGAAGCGGCTGTAAAGACTCCATTATGGTGTATTAATG